AGATGACGCAGTCGGATGAGGAGGGGTCGGCGGTCGTGGAGTGAGTCGCTGGCCTTTGGCTGAGCCATCCTTTGTTTCAGGGAGATGGGGGCCGTTGTAAATGATGGGGGGTCAGTGGTGGATGAGGGATGCTCGGGCTGAGCCCCTCTCGGCTTTTGCATGAGCACCCAAACATGTGTAACACGGGCAACCACCGCTTGGCCATGAGCCTTCTGGGCTGCTTTGGAGAAGTCTCCTCTGGGTATCAGCGAAGTTGCACCAAGGCAGATGCTGGTGGGGATGGGCAGGTTGTTCTGTCAGGCCTCTCGCCTCCCTTCACTCACTGACTTTAAGAGGATCATATTCTCCACTGCACATAAATAAAAAAGTGCAAAATAAGTGTTTACTCCAGCTTTAAAGCCGTTTGTTAGTTTATGCACTCGCTTTACTGGTTACCAGTTTGGATGCTGTCACAACGATGCGGGGAGTTTGACGTGTATCTGCAAACTCTCACAAATTGGCTTTTAATTCATGTCCACTTTTAGCTGCCCTTTGAATGAAAATTTCTACTTCTGGTGCCATCAAAAGTACAAACGGTGATTATTTTTATTTTTTTTTTAAAATATCAGTTCATCAGAACGAACTCTAAAAATGGACCGTCATGTTTTTTGCTGCTTTATATGGCTCAGCATTGCCCTCCTCTCCTGGAGCTGGCTGCCCTGTCTCCCTTCAACCATGTTCAATGGTCCTATCTGCTGCCTTCTCCACTCGTACTGGGAACACTGCATATTTACAATCTCGTGGCCCTTTGCATAGCAAAAATGATTCCTAAATATGTGTATTTTGGAACATTTCCAGCTGCTGCAGGATTGTTTTGCAAAGCATTTGCCAGTGACGTGCTTGAATCCTGGGCTGGTGCTGTTAAATGTTTTTTCCAGCGTCTGAGTGGGGAAGACGTGGAAAACGCTCCTCACGTCCTCACGCTGCTGGATTTTCTCTCTGCTGCAGGTACGTGAAAGGCTACCCACCAAACTCGCCCTACATCGGGAGCTCCCCGACGCTGTGCCACCTTTTACCCGAGAAAGCCCCATTCTGCTGCCTGAGGCTGGACAAGGTACGATGGGGCTGCGTGGGGCTGCCTGGGGGCTGCAGCCCCCCCAGGAGCGGGACGGCTCCGCGCCTGCTGGGTGGGCAACCAAGAGCTGCCTGCTGAGTCCCTGCGCTGCCTTCCACCGCACAGGGCTGCAAGCACAACAGCTTTGAAGATGCCAAAGCCTACGGGTTTAAGAACAAACTGATTATCGTTTCGGCAGAGACGGCTGGGAACGGACTGTATAACTTCATTGTCCCCCTTCGTGCGTACTATCGGTCCCGCAAAGAGTTGAACCCAATCGTGTTGCTGCTGGACAACAAGCAAGTACTTTTCCACGGATGTTTTCCATCGCACCAAGCCCTCCCCTGGGTTTTCATGGGCTTCTCATCGCGTGGGGATGGGAGCGCGGGGGAACGGCACCGCCGCTGTTGGGTACCTCGGCTGATGTTGGTCCTGGGAACTCCTGTGTGGGTTTTGTATCTGTCTTTGCCCTGCGGGCTTGCTGAACCGCCTCGCTCTCTGTTGCTCTTCCTCCAGGCCGGAGCACCACTTTCTGGAAGCCATCTGTTGTTTCCCCATGGTTTACTACATGGAGGGCACGATCGACAAGTAGGTGTTTCCGCATGTGGCTCTTCTTACTTATAGTGCTGCCTAAACGTGTCGCATTTACCCCAGCCCAGACTTTTGGGTCAACCCACGAGAAGCCTCAGGGTTGGTACCGTAGAGCTGAGCCCACCCTTGGCTTCTTGGGTTGTCAACCCCGGCCCGGTAGATGGGAGCAGGTGAAGAGCTGGTGGTTGGGAGCGGCCTGGGCTTGCTGTAGCGCTGCGCATCGCAGCGTGCTGCTTCCCTGTGTCGTTTCCAAGGGCTGACCCTGCGCTCTTCTCTTTGGGAACTGCCCAGCCTGGACAGCTTGCTGCAGTGCGGCATCATCTACGCCGACAACCTGGTGGTTGTGGACAAGGAGAGCACGATGAGCGCCGAGGAGGACTACATGGCGGATGCAAAGACAATTGTCAACGTCCAGACCATGTTCAGGTGAGGGGTGACTGCTGCCCCGGCTTCATCATGGCCACTTCCCTCTGCTGGAGACAAGACTGGGAAGGGTGCTGGTGGCTGGGGTGGTGGCTATGGGCGGTGGGACACATCTGCGATTGGGCTTGCTCTGGGAAACAGTCTCTAATCAGCTATTTCTGACCCCAGACAGGCATAGGGGTGTTTTTGATCTTCCTCAGGCTTTAAACACAGGGAGTGCTCTCACTTCTGAGTGAGCTGCAGGATAACAGGCTTCTTTCCATTGCAGGCTCTTCCCCAGCCTCAGCATTATCACAGAGCTGACTCACCCCTCCAACATGAGGTTCATGCAGTTCAGAGCAAAGGACAGTTACTCTCTTGCCCTTTCCAAGCTAGAAAAGGTAAGAGAAGGTCTTCCCCTGCACGCAGGGCCTGGGAAGTCAACGCTGAGAGTGACCACATTTGAGCCCCTCGAGGTCCTGTGCTCTTCTGCATGCTGCAGCTACCATAGTTAGTGTGCACCTACCCGAGATAACTTGCAGCAAATAAGTGGGCAGCTGACCTTTGGACTAGCTACTTCCTTCTACGTATTTATGTGTTTATTTGGTGGCTGGAGTTCTTGCTGCTTTGCCTACTGCTGTACTGGACACACTGGACCTCTGAATCTGGTTTAATGCTGTGACTGCAGTAAGGGAGGGAAGTGGAGTCACCGTGCTGAGACACATCTTCTGACAAGGGAGAAAGTTCCCCTGAACCAGACACTGGGGCATGAGAAAGGGCCGCATCCAGCCCATGGCAAAAAAACCCAACCGTGCCTCACACATTTCTATGGGGAAAAAAAACGACTTTCACCAGTGTAAGGATGCTGCCCTGCTTCCCTCCTGGCACACCCACCAGGAACATTACTCTGATGTCCTCCCATTTTCATGAGTCCTCTAGTTTCTGTGCAACCTGTGCATGGCAGAGGCTGCATGTTTTGCTTTGGAAGGACATGAACAAGCCCCTGCCAACGGGGTTTGCCTGCGGGTCTCACATCTCCCCTTCCTCTTCCAGAAAGAGCGAGAGAACGGCTCCAACCTGGCCTTCATGTTCCGGCTGCCCTTTGCGGCCGGGAGGGTCTTCAGCATCAGCATGCTGGACACGCTGCTCTACCAGGTGAGAGCCCGACGGGCTCTGGGTAACACACCCCTGGAGCTGTGGCTGCCCCTTTGCATCTCCCAATGAATAACTGAGCAAATCTTTTCTCTGGGTTGCTGCCCAAATGTCTCCCCCAAGTCGTTCGTGAAGGACTACATGATCACCATCACTCGGTTGCTGCTGGGCCTCGACACCACGCCAGGCTCTGGCTACCTCTGTGCGGTAGGTGCCAAGTCCTCCTGGATTGAAACCGTCTGGCCAAGTCATTGTGGAGCTGGTGGGATCTGTCACCCTGTGCATGGGGGTGGAGGGTTCCCCTCTTCTGGGTGGGGGAGGCAACATTGCCAGGTCATCGCCGCCCTCCATCATGTGTGGGGAACCTCAGCACAACCAAGAACCCAAAAGACCAAGAGCTGCCAAGGACTAAAGTCGCTGTTCTGATGGTTGAGGTCTTTTTGTGGGGTCCAGCTCGCTTTTGGGACTGGCATGGATGAGCCAGGGTGAAGCTCAGGAGCAGCCTTGACGTGTTCCTCAGGGCTCTCTGCACAGTGCAGGCAGTTGATGTTTGCCCTCTGTTGCTCAGATGAAGATCACTGAAGATGACCTGTGGATCCGGACATACGGCCGCCTCTTTCAGAAGCTCTGCTCTTCCAGTGCGGAGATTCCCATCGGGATTTACAGGACGGAGTCACACATGTTCGCAACCTCCGAGGTAGGGGCACGGCGGTGGCATGTGCCAGGAAAGGGCTGTGCCGGTGCTCCCAGCCGAGCATCACTGCCCGGCAGAGGTGCGGTCCATGAGGCCCCTCGGACGTGGTTGCCGCAGTGGTGGGGAGGAGCGAGGGGAGGGGAAGCTTTGCCTTTGCTTCGTCAGCAGCCCTGCCTCCGCGTGCCGGTGGTGGTGTCCTGGTTCCCCAGCCGGCTAAGCTGGGCCGGTGCCAGCGCCCGTCTCCCCGGGCAGCAGCCTGGCACCGAGGCCCCGGGGGGCAGCGGGGATGTGGCACAGCAGGGCGCCCCGTTTGCTGGCCTGACACGATATTTTTCCTTTTTTTTCCCCCGCTGCAGCCCCACGACATCAGAGCGCAGGTGAGTGCCGCTCGCATCCAGCCGCCGGCTGCGCGGGGTGTCGGGCGTTACCCTGGCTGCCCGCGCTGCCTCCCAGTCCCCCCCCCACCAACCCCGAAGATAAACCATGGG